TTTACTTTCCTTTTTTTTTTTTTTTTTTTTTTTTTTTTTGAGATGAGGTCTCATTACATAGTCCAGCCAGGCCTAGAATTTACTGTGTAGCCCAGGGAGCCTCAAACTGAAGATCTTCCTGCCTCAGCTTCTTGAGTGCTGGGATTACAGATGTGCCTAGCTTCAGTTTCTTTAGGTATGAAAGATTCTCATTCTGCTTCAGGACATTCATAATTACTGATGTTTGCTGTCGTGTTGTAAGACTTAAGTCTCACTTTTACTCCTGGAGCGTGAACAGCCAAGAGGCTTCTATGATGCTGGGCTCAGAAGCTCAGTGAGGCTCCAGGAGCTTGTCGGACAGCGAGAGTCACCCAGGAAGGAACACACCAGGCAAGTTGGCAAATAGACCTTTATTAGTCTGGCCAGACGGCACTCCCCAAGCCAAGTAGCTCAGAGAGGCAGCTAGCTCAGAAACAGAGGCCATTTTATATAGGGCTAGGGGGATGGTTTACACTTAAAACTTACAGGAAGAGGACAAAGGCAAAGAATCAGTTGATCTGAGCTAGTGGTCATCAAGCATATACTTGACCGTCACTTACTAATGATCAGCAGATCGATTATCCATTATTCCATTTACAAATTAGATTATAACATTCAACTACAGGCAAGTAAGGAGTGGCGTGATTTGTGTTGGGTCTTTGTGTTCACTACAGTTTCCATTTAGTTTCCCAGCTACTTCAAAGCAGTTACCTAACAATTCACAATTAATCATTAGTTATCCTATAAGGGATGGGGGGGAGCGACAGTCTCTAGTTCGTTTGCTGGTCAACATGGAGTCGCTCTGGTTCAGTCAGGCTCTTACAGTGTGAGAGTAAACTATTTCTGTATGCCCTCTAAGTGTCTGTGTGTTGTATCAAAGCTGTGGCTCCAGTTTTGTGAAGCAGTAAGGCTCAAGTGACCCTCCCGCCTCAGCCTCCTAGCTGGTAATATAGTGTGTGTGACTGTGCCTGGCCCTTCTCAGGTTCTTTCTCTTCATTTTTCTTGCAGAATGGCTTCCTAGTGTTTATTTTTGTCTGTCTGGCCCTGTATATTCTTCAGATTATCTATAAACTAGTGAAATTACTAATAGTATCTGCTCATTTTGTAAGCATTTTCTGAAGATTGA